CATCCTCTCCCTACACTAATAAGACCTCATGTTCGTGCGGTGCTACGCGACTCCAGCTTATATATAGAGGCTGGGTCACACGCTGCACTGGCCAATTAGTAGGCATGGCTGTGATGGCTTCTAAGGGCACACGAGTCAAACGCTTGTTGATTGGCTGCTCTGCAGCCTTTCAAAACGTGCCATTAAATCACTGAACACCGAACTTCAACCCGAACATACAGTGATAAGTCCGTGTTTGGGTCCGGGGTCCAAAAAAATGTAATGTTCGGTATGAACCCGAACTTTACAGTCCGGGTTCGCTCAACTCTAGTAAAGGATTCCTGGTGTTGGTATGGATACCGCTGGCTCAGGGGCCAAATAAGGGGCTCAGGACAAAAGTGTCTGAAGCGCCTGGGCCATCTGATCCATACGGTGATCCTACTCTTCATACCTTGCATCATAGGTGGCCATTTGCTGTCCTAAACTTGCAATGTCATGGTGTATTACCCCAACACGCAGAGTTTAGGATAGGAAGGGACAAGACTAGGATAAAACGTATTACCGGGCAATAGAATGGCCGGACTAAACGTCAGACAGAGATAAAGCATAATCAGAGACGAGCCAAGGTCAGGGTAACGGAGAGACAGCGAAAACAGGAACTAGCCAGAGTCAGATACACGGTAATAAGTCAGACAGGCAAACAAGACAGGAAAGGGTTAAAGTTAAACTCAGAGTCCTATACAAAGCCAAGGTCAATACCAGAATAAATACAATAGATCAAGGAACACACTAAAGGGTACTGAAACAGAAACCACGATAGGGCAAAGTGGATAGGGCTAAGGAAGTTTAAATATCCTTAACTAACATATGATTAGCCGATGTCATGCCTACGCCCCCAAAAGGTGCGTGTGTGGGGGAGCCAGAATGATGGGGGCCAACGGGAGCCTGAATCTACTTTTGGCTCCCACTGCCCTTGTGCCAGGTGGGCCGTGTGACTGATCATTGCATGCAGGCGGCCCGCTCAGAAGGGGAGATTGAGCCACACATGGCTCGTGTGGAAGCAGGAGTGCTCGAGCCATGCGCTAAGGCTCCCGGATAAGGCAAGTACCGCCACAACAAGAAAGGCATGGACACCAGGCAGGAGCAGACAGAGAGCCTCCAAGTAGGACTGGACCACCATGGAATCTAGTGTCCCCTTCCCTAGTCAGATGTGAGAACAGGGAGGGGGGAAAATATTAAATAATGGAGGGGGGAGGGGAGAAATAAACTGCTCTTTTCACGCTCCTTCCACCCCACACACAAACACAACAAAACCCTTAACTCAGCCAACAAATATACACACTGCACACACTATATACATACACTGATATTATTATTGTTATTATTAATATCGCCATTTATATAGCGCCAACAGATTCTGTAGCGCTTTACAATATTATTAGATGAGGGATTTAACTATAAATAGAACAATTACAAGAAAACTTACAGAAACGATAGGTTGAAGAGGGCCCTGCTCAAACAAGCTTACATTCTATAGGAGGTGGGGTATAAAACACATTAGGACAGGAAATAGCAATCAAATTAGGTGGCAGTGAAGCAGAGCTGGAGGAGAGAGTAGAGTGCTGCCCTTTAGGAGAGAGCAAGAGACAGCTATGTGAGGTGGAGGTTAGTCTGGAAGGCCATAGGCTTTCCTAAAGAGATGGGTTTTAAGGCACTTCTTAAATGATTGAAGACTAGGGGAGATTCTGATGGCAGTGGGCAGGCTATTCCATAAGAAGGTAGCCGCCCATGAGAAGTCCTGCAAGTGCCGAGTTGTGAGGCTCAAAGGTGAGGCCAGAATCAAAAGTAACACCAAGACAACGTGCTTGTAAGGATGGGCTGATATGGGTACCCCCAATCTGAAGGGAGAGCGAGAGAGGAGGATTAATATTAGGAGGAGGAAAGACAAGAAGTTCTGTTTTGGAAAGATTCAGTTTCAGAAAGCGGGAGGACATCCAATCAGGGATAAAGAGAAATGCAAGAGGTGCCACATTTCAGGACATCAGGGCAGAGCTCTGAGGAGGAGAGATATATCTGGGTGTCATCAGCATACAGGTGGTATTGGAATCCAAATGAGGTAATAAGTTTGCCAAGAGAGGCAGTGTAAAGAGAAAATAGAAGGGGACCAAGGACAGAGCCTTGGGGGACCCTAACTGAGACAGGACAAATGGTGGAGGTATCATTAGACAAGGAGACACTGGATGAGTGTTGGGTGAGATAGGAGGAAAACCATGAGAGGACAGAGTCACAGAGACTGAGTGATTGAAGAGTTTGGAGAAGGAGAACATGATCAACGGTGTCAAAGGCAGCAGAGAGTTCAAGAAGAATTAGTATGGAGTAGTGACCTTTGGATTTAGCTGTGGTAATGTCATTTGTGACTTTGATGAGGGCAGTCTCAGTAGGGTGGCATGGGTGGAAGAAGGACTGAAGAGGGTCAAGGAGAGAGTTAGAGTTAAGGAAGCAGGCCAGACGGGTAAAGACTAGTCTTTCAAGAAGCTTTAAAGAAAAAGGGAGCCGGGATATAAGACGATAGTTAGAAGGGGAGGATGGGTCAAGACATGATTTTTTTAAGATGGATACTACAGTAGCATGTTTAAGGACTGCAGGGACAGTGCCAGGAGAAAGAGAGGCGTTGAAGATGTGTGTTAAGGAGGGTACAAGACAAGAGGAGAGAGATCTGATAAGGTGAGATGGGACAGGATCAAGTGAGCAAGTGGTGGGGCAAGAGGAAAGGATAAGCGCAGCCACCTCTTGTTCAGTAGCCTGGGAGAAGGTCGGAAGGGTTGGAGGGGCATGATCCAGGTGTGGTTGAGAAAGTGAGGGGCAAGGTGGTGAGAATTATTTCCTTAGCTGTTCAGTCTTGTCAGTAAAGTAGCATGCAAAACTATCGTCTGTAAGGTTAGTTTGTGGGTTGGCCGCAGCAGGGCAAAGAAGAGAGTTAAAGGTATCAAAGAGACGCCAGGGATTGTGAGAGCATGAGCTAATAAGAGAAGAAAAGTATGACTGTTTGGCAAGGGCTGCTCTGTATGAATGCAATATGAATTTGTAGTGTAAAAAGTCTGACTCGGTGTGAGACTTCCTCCAGCAGCGTTCAGCAGAACGGGAACATCTCTGCAGGTAGCTTGTTGATTTAGTGTGCCATGGTTGGGGACGTACTCTCCTCGAGGTGTGTATTTGGAGAGGGCCTGCAGCATCCAGGGCTGAGGTGAGGGTAGAGTTAGATATCATGATAATATTCTGGCTTATACACTGACTATTAATTTTAGCTGTCTTACTAGTCATTTTCTTATTTTATAGGTGTTTCTGGAGATTGGAAGAATCATTTCACTGTTGCCCAAAGTGAGGAATTTGACAAAGTTTATCAAGAGAAGATGAAAGATCTTAAAATTACTTTTTTTTGGGAAAGAACTTGACATACATATGCTTTTGAAAGTTTTATAAAATATCTGTAGTTTAAGATACTTTAAAATACTTAATCATTTTTTATTTTATTTGGAACAGCTATTTTCCTATAAATTATTTTAGGTAAACATTACATTATGTAAATAATTGTAGGTTTATCATGTATATTTAAAATAAAAAAATATTTTATAGTGAAATATAATTAGTTCATTGAGTTATTGTCATGTTAGTTGCTCATTTTGCTGCAGTGTTTTTCCATCCTCTCAGGCTTAATGATGCCAGATGCTCCAAACCTACATTTGTATTGATGCAACTATACCATACCTGGTTCTCATGCGTTTTTAAGGTGTAATTTGTTCATACCACTGACCTATTGATATAAAATGATGTAACACACTCCAGCCTATTTATTCTGTATCTACTTTTATGTAACTGCCATATTGTAGCATTAAATATGTTCTGTGTCCTGTATTGTATTTTTTGGGGATTGAGCCAGCTTGTTTAAAGTACAAGTGTGCCTCTGCCATTCATGACTTTCGCCTGGCCCTGACTATGTGTATTTACTCCTTTGGGAATAAATACAGCCATACTCTGCAATGGTAATACATCCCTATGTTTTTTATGTATATGCTTCTTGGTAAAGCACTGCCCTCTACTGGTGTGTTTGACTTACTATAATCCTCAGAGTTATGTATATTATTATTGTATGTGAAGATAAACACAATTTGTTTGCATTCCAATAAAGTTGTCTTCTGGAGGGGAGAACAAAAACATGTATAGAGAGACTATTGAGATTAAACTACTCAACACATTTAAAGGAAGATCATTTACCCACTTTCAACAGTCAACAGGTAGCAATCACACATAATAACTACAAGATTCATAATCACTACAAGATTATTTGCAAGTGAATATGAATTTTGAAATATTTGAATGATCTAGAAAGATCCCTTATGGAACACCTACCACCTCTGTGAAAATAAAGTTAAAAGGATGCTTTAGCATACATCCCAGTGTTTCAAATGTACGAAGAGGGACACTTTAATTTTAGGGGTGTGAGTGGGAGTTCAGTGGCTTACTAATAATTTATGCAACAATTTTTTTTAAAATCTTTCTTTTTATTGATTTTCACAATTACATAAAGTAGACTAAATCTCTGAATTATATCATTTTACATTTCCCTCATAATATGTTAAGACACATATAAACAGCATATAGAAAGATTATAAAGACAAAAAAAACGTATTATACATAACACATCAGAACTCCATTATCATGCGGGGTGGGGGGAGGCGCGGACCTATCTTATCCTTTATCTCACTTAAATCTCTACATAGCTTAGATCTATGGCTGGCCTTGGTTTGAAGTACATGGAGCATCAATCAAGGTAAGCCAAGAATCCCACATGTCATGTTTCTTTTGGAATTTAACCCCTTAAAGGACCACTATAGTGGTCAAACAAACTTGTTTTCCTGGCACTATAGGGTCTTTAAAGGGGACTTAAAGATAAACTGGGCAGGTCTATTTGTGTTTAGGGGGAAGGCCTAGAAATATAAAAAAATGTAATGGAGGCAGCTGTGGCTTTAACAGGTTCTTACACATCTGTTCCCTATATTTAAGAGTTCATGTCTGGACTATATTCCCAGTGACTGACCAAGGTTAACATTTGCACAACGGCTTCATGACAGACCCTTTACATCAATGTCCTTTTTGAAACTGGTGCACCAACCATATTGGCATAACTCTTTAATTCCATCAGAAGAATTTTCCCTTAAATATTCCACAGTCGACAATGCCATTCAGTCTATTTTGCATGCAGGTACAGGAGCTCGGCTTGAAAACTAATATCTCAAATACCTTCAAATTGCTAGCTATACATTTTGCACTGAGGCACCTGCCTTGTGTTAAATGGAGGGGCCAATATTACTTTGCTACAAAATATACATTTGGTGCCAGAAGTAGCCCAAAATCATTTGATATATTTGCTCGAATTCTCTGCAGGCATCTCCTTAAAGGACCACTATAGTGCCAGGAAAACATACTCGTTTTCCTGGCACTATAGGGTCTCTAGGTCCCCCCCACCCTTAGGGACCTCCTCCTGCCAGGCTCTAACGTGAGGAAGGGGTTAAACACATACCTTTTCTCCACCGCCGGGCTCCGGACGGACTCTCCGCCTCCTTTTGCCATCATTGGCTGAATGCGCATTTGCGGCAAGAGCCGCGCGCGCATTCAGCCAATCCACAGGTAATCATTCTCAATGCTTTCCTATGGACGCTGGCGTCTTCTCACTGTGAAAATCACAGTGAGAAGCGCAGAAACGTCTCTAGCGGCTGTCAATGAGACAGCCACTAGAGGCTGGATTAACCCATTTGTAAACACAGCAGTTTCTCTGAAACTGCTATGTTTCTCTGAAACTGCTATGTTTACAGCAGAAAGGGTTAATCCTAGATGGACCTGGCACCCAGACAACTTCATTAAGCGGAAGTGGTCTGGGTGCCTATAGTGGTCCTTTAACGTAAGTAGGTGTCAAGTGATAATTCACTGCCTTTATATCTTTTTGACAATTGAAATAGGAAATATCACGCCTCGAAGTTTTAAGTTCACTACTGCTCTTTTTTCTAAGTAAGTCCTACCACCAGTTTGACTTTTTCAGGTATCCAACTTGACTCTTCAGTAATGTAGTCTAGCCTCTCTGGGGGAAAAGGTTCAGCTAATCCAGGAGGATATATATACACACAATAACCTATATATACACTATATGTCATTGGTCAATAATAGAATCTCTCTCAACAACCAAGCTAGGGCTGATTTGCTATGTGGCAAGAGTTTCTTGTTAAATGGAATGGAGGGGCTACATTCATTCCACCACCTCCAGATCAATCCCCAACTATTTGGACACATGATTTGCTGCCATATTTAATGGCACATGGCTTAGAGAGCAACAGCAGCACAGGTATAGGGTAGGTTTTGGCAAGGTCAATCAAATGTTATTCTGACAGTTAGTCAGCATGTGAAATTATCAATAAAGGGTGGTCCTTGTCAGTCAGCATGTGAAATTAGCAATAAAGGGTTGTTCTCATCATTTAAGGGATTATATAGTGTAAGGAATAGTGATGCACCGAACGGTTCGCTGGCGAATAGTTCCTGGCGAACATAGCATGTTACCGTTCGCCACGGCGGGCGAATATATGCGCGGTTCAATCTGCCCCCTATTCGTCATCATTGAGTAAACTTTGACCCTGTACCTCACAGTCAGCAGATACATTCCAGCCAATTAGCAGCACACCCTCCCTAGCAGACCCTCCCACCTACTGGACCGCATCCATTTCACATTCATTCTCAAGCTGCATGCTTAGTGAGAGGAGGGAAAGTGTAGCTGCTGTTGATTAGATAGGGAAATGCATAGCTAGGTTAGGGTATACAGTGTCCACAACAGTCCTGAAGGACTCATCTGATCTCTGCTGTAAGGACAGCACCCCAAAAAGCCCTTTTTAGGGCTAGAACATCAGTCTGCTTTTTTTTTTTTTTCTTTTTCTGTGTAATGTAATTGCAGTTAGTTGTCTGCTTCTGTGTCAGGCTCACAGTGGATACTGTGCCCAGTGCCACCACTCACTCACTGGTGTCACAATAGCGTGCATTTAAAAACAAAAAAACTGTTATAGATTGAGTAGCAGTTAGGTGTCTCAAAGCGGGTGTGTCAGCCCTACAGCGTGTACGCTGCCAGTTCACAGTGCCACTCATATCTGGTGTCATAATAGCTTACATTTAAAAACAAAAAACTTTTTTCACTGTTATAGATTGAATAGCAGTTAGTTGTCTGCAAGCGTCTGTGTGTCAGGCTCGCAGCGTATACTGTGCCCACTTGCCCAGTGCCACCACTCACTCACTGGTGTCACAATAGCTTGCATTTAAAAAAAAAAAACTTTTTTCACCGTTATAGATTGAATAGCAGTTAGTTGTCTGCAAGTGTCTGTGTGTCAGGCTGTAGCGTATACTGTGCCCACTTGCCCAGTGCCACCACTCACTCACTGGTGTCGTGCATTTAAAAACCAAAAACTTTTTTCAATGTTATAGTTGAATAGCAGTTAGTTGTCTGCAAGTGTGTGTCAGGCTCGCAGCGTATACTGTGCCCACTTGCCCAGTGCCACCACTCACTCACTGGTGTCACAATAGCGTGCATTTAAAAACCAAAAAACATTTTTTCACTGTTATAGATTGAATAGCAGTTAGTTGTCTGCAAGCGTCTGTGTGTCAGGATCGCAGCGTATACTGTGCCCACTTGCCCAGTGCCACCACTCACTCACTGGTGTCACAATAGCATGCATTTAAAAACCCAAAAAACTTTTTTCACTGTTATAGATTGAATAGCAGTTAGTTGTCTGCAAGCGGTGTGTCAGGCTCACAGCGTATACTGTGCCCAGTGCCACCACTCATACTGGTGTCACAATAGCTTGCATTTAAAAACCCAAAACTTTTTTCACTGTTATAGATTGAATAGCAGTTAGTTGTCTCAAAGCGGGTGTGTCAGCCCTACAGCGTGTACTCTGCCAGTTCACAGTGCCACTCATATCTGGTGTCATAATAGCTTGCATTTAAAAACAAAGAACTTTTTTCACTGTTATAGATTGAATAGCAGTTAGTTGTATCAAAGCGGGTGTGTCAGGCTCACAGTGAATACTGTGCCCAGTGCCACCACTCACTCACTGGTGTCAGAATAGCGTGCATTTAAAAACTAAAAAACTTTTTTCACTGTTATAGATTGAATAGCAGTTAGTTGTCTGCAAGCGTCTGTGTGTCAGGCTCGCAGCGTATACTGTGCCCACTTGCCCAGTGCCACCACTCACTCACTGGTGTCACAATAGCGTGCATTTAAAAACAAAAAAAAACATTTTTCACTGTTATAGATTGAATAGCGGTTAGTTGTCTGCAAGCGTCTGTGTGTCAGGCTCGCAGCATATACTGTGCCCACTTGCCCAGTGCCACCACTCACTCACTGGTGTCACAATAGCGTGCATTTAAAAAGAAAAAACTTTTTTCACTGTTATAGATTGAATAGCAGTTAGTTGTCTCAAAGCGGGTGTGTCAGCCCTACAGCGTGTACTCTGCCAGTTCACAGTGCCACTCTTATCTGGTGTCACAATAGCATGCATTTAAAAACCAAAAAACTTTTTTCACTGTTATAGATTGAATAGCAGTTAGTTGTCTCAAAGCGGGTGTGTCAGGCTCACAGTGGATACTGTGCCCAGTGCCACCACTCACTCACTGGTGTCACAATAGCGTGCATTTAAAAAACAAAAAACTTTTTTCACTGTTATAAATTGAACAGCAGTTAGTTGTCTTCAAACGGGTGTGTCAGGCCTACAACGCGTACTCTGCCAACCTTTGCCAGTTCAAAGTGCCACTCTTATCTGGTGTCACAATAGCTTGCATTTAAAAACCAAAAAACTTTTTTCTCTGTTATAGATTGAATAGCAGTTAGTTGTCTTCAAGCGGGTGTGTCAGCCCTACAGCGTGTAATCTGCCAACCTCTGCCAGTTCACAGTGCCACTCATATC